TGAGTCGACCGGAAGGGTCGACCTGACACATCCAGGGCTTGATTGAATATGATGAGTCAACCGCACATATTTTTCAGTCGACGCACATATTTAATTTCTCAAAAAATACGTGTTTTTGGAGATCTTTCATTCCAATCATTCCATTGTAAGATTATTCATAGGACCAACCCAAATAGAGAGAGATGAATAGTCCGTTTTGACATCACTAAAATATTTATAGAGGGATTTTTCCCTCTATATATATATAAGAGAGAGAGAGAGAGGAGAGAGAGAGAGAGAGAGAGAGAGAGAGAGGAGAGAGAGAGAGAGAGAGAGAGAGAGAGAGAGAGAGAGAGAGAGGAGAGAGAGAGAGAGAGAGAGAGAGAGATGAGAGAGAGAGAGAGAGAGAGAGAGGAGAGTTTGTTAGAGATTTTTGATGGTGGTGATGATTATATAGTGAAGAGAGAGGGAGAGAGAGTTTGTTAGAGATTTTTGATGGTGGTGATGATTATATGCCTTAACTCTCCCAGCCTGAATTCACTTTTGCTTAAAGAAGAAAAATAGAGAATGAGAAAAAGTGTCGAGGAATCACGTTTTGCTGGCAGTCAGTTATGCTAAGGTCTCATCAAATGAGGTAGGGAGCTTAGTAGCTTATGGTGTACACCAACCTTTGTTCACAAGCCTTCACCCATAAACCTTGAAATAGACATTCTTATTTGAAGCAAGTCTCTTCCTTCATGCATACATGACATGCACTGTTTGACCAAATGGAGAAAATAGACAAGGAACGTTCCATACTGCAGCTCATAATGCAAACAAACACACCCAAAACGCACTGATATAATTCATTGTCAAGTGATCCACTATTGAACCCGTGGCCATGTGCTTCTCTTTGTGATCTTCTATTTTGATAATCAAGCATTCAATATCACGAGTTTGGTATCAATTGAAAGAGGGAGGAACATAGAACAACTTTTGTGTAACTTCGAGCTGAGAAGATGGTTAGAAAAACTCAAAAATAGCTATGAAAGTCATGGTGTTGAGACTGATAAGGTCACTTGGGAAATTCACTAAGCAACTATCAAACTATTCATTTCATCCTCATCACTTCTTGGCCTTCTGATTTCTTCAGTAATGAACCAAATGAAGTGTTCTTGGTACCATGAGAAAAATGACGAACAACTTTGATGTTGAACTGATTTTGAAATAGAGCCTTAAAAATCAAGTAATTTGGCCATGAAGTCATAACATTCCATCTAATCACTAATCTCAGTTAGTGTTGGAAAATTCAAAGTTAAGAATCATGAAACTTCCAAGCTCTATATCTCAAGATTTATGCATTTTTTGGAGATAGATCCTCAAGGACAAAAATGGAGTATGGATTCTCTTCTTTCATTTGATAAAAAAAATCGCACATTTCTAACCATAGAAGAAAGAGATATAGAGTTGACCATATGGCATCATGAGCACAAAAAATCCTTAAAACTTAAATTTTCTTTTTTAAGTCTAAGATACTTCAAATGCAAGAAACTTCAGTTTTGACCATTCTCTTTGACTTTTCTGAACAAATTACCATACTTTCTCACATTTTAACTTTTGAACTTGATTTTGGCCAAAAATCTCATTTGGTCAACCTTTGACTTTTTGTTGACTTTTGAACAAACACACTCAAATCCTTTTCTTGTTTAATCAATCTTGATCATGTGATTAAATGAAGGACCAATAAGACATATGTGGATACCTTGAGACTTATAGAAGACTCAAGAAGTCAGCTATAACATGCCATTGACCCAAACCCTAATTTGTATCAAGAAGATAGGAGATGATGATCAAGACATTAAAACACTAATTCAACCGAGATAAGCTTGAGAAGTTCTTGAGTCAATAAGTCTCATGCATAGGGAGAATGCTTATGATAATGAGATTTCAGATATCCAACCCTTGTAGATCAAATTTCCTCTCTTGAGTGGCATACTCTCACAGTCAAAACCTTTGATCCCATAGCATTGAGTTAATGTAGTACAAATGATGTATATGATGATGAAGCAGTAATCCTGAAAGGTATGAAACATATAAGAGGAAAATTTTTGGGGTACAACAGACACATGCTGATTTTCTTAATTCCTTTTTGGTTTGATTTTCAACTTTTTCATTTCTACTTTTTAATGTTATAAATATTCTAATCATATGCGTTTTGCCCGTGCATTTCATTATGCAGATCTGATATAATTGAATCTATTTTATTTGGATCCCTATTTTCAGTAGAGTTTTCAATTAGTGATATTGTTAAACATTGGGTTGGGATTTTCTCTAGATTTGATAAAGCTTGGTTTGACTTCTCAAGTTTCTTAACATTATTAAGCAAAAATAGTTTCATTTGTTTAGTATTTCTTTGGTATCAGGTTACAGCTAGAGATATAGAATAGATGAATGAATTTTCTGCTTCAGATTTGATTGTTTCTGTTTATTTCAATAATTTACAGTTTCATTTACTTTTAATTTATAAGTTTTTTATTCTGTTTTAATCCAAAATTGCTTGCAGGTATTTTATTGTCAACAATTTGTGAAAGATTTTATGATTTACTACTGCTTAAAAGTGACAGGGTCATTTGTCCTTCAATTATGAACCATAATATCTTATATATTTTTCATTTGGTTTTTAGTTTTGGCTGTCTATAAAATGGCTTAACAAAGATACTATTTTGCAGAATCCTGACAACAAGAGGGAGATTTTTTGTGATGAAAAGCTGAAGACCATTTTCAGTTGGACTTGGATGCATATAGCTGTTGGACTTAACTATTTGTTTTATATCAATTTGATGCAACTAGAAGCATTATATGAAATTAATTCATTGAGTCTGCTTCTTATTAGCTTTTAGACTTATTTTTTTACCTGTTTCAAAAGCATTTCTATAGCTATCGTGAACTTTAGAAACTCTATAGGTGAATAATTTTAGCCTTTAACTCCCATATACCCATCTTCTGCAGCCATGAAAAGATCGATGTGAGTCATCCAGAGTTTTTCAATACTGCAAAACAAAATGATCATGTTCCTCCAAATAAAGAGGTCAAATCAATTTACTTCTGAAGTTCTCTCTACAATGGATTTACCTTTTTAATTTGTCATAGAGGCCAAGAATAGTTTTATTATATCATTGTGAACTTCTCTAAATAGCAAATGTCTTGTATATAAAGTCCAATATTTCTAATGTATTGATGTATTGTTTTTACATTAGTGATCTTTAATCGATCTTTGTAACTGTTATTAAATCTAATTTGGGTTCTTAAACGTTGTCTTTTCCGTTTATACTTGTCTTCCTTACATATACTTTTAATTTTATTATTCTTTTGATTTTATTTATTTACTATTAACTGATTACAATTAGATGTACTACACCAATATCCGTGCGAACGCATAGGTATTCACTAGTTGGAAATTGAATGAGTAGTTCAGTTAAAATTGCTAAGAAATACGTATTACTGAAGAGTTACTCCCTCGTCACATAAAAAAATCTCATTTAAACTTTTTCTCGGTCTCAAAATAATTTTCTCTTTATAATACCAATGAAATATTTATTATTATTTTTTCACTATTATACCCCTCAACCTTGGGGGACCATTTGATATACATCTTCCAACAATCAACCTACAACCAATCAAACGTGACATCTTGCCTTAGGATTTCACTTCAAACTGTTTTCAGAAAAGGGCATGTTATTCTCGTTCTATCGCAATAGAGGCAACTCATAAGTCTCAAAGTACGAGCGATAACACATAAGTCCTAAAGTACGAGCGACAACATAAGTCTCAAAGTACAAGCGCAACACATAAGTCTCAAAGTACGAGCGACAACGTCTAACTTCTAGAACACGAATTTAACATCGTCAATTAAAAACAACCAACAAACATTATTTTCTAGACGAACTACATAGCTCTTATTTATCTATTGCACTATGGAGATACGTAGGCATAGGATTTAGGAAATCTCGGAGAGCAGATCACACTAATTTAAAACTTATTTCCCCCCTTTACCATTCATAGCAAGTAAACCTTTAGATAAAAACATCCTTAGAAACAAACAAACAAACAAAGTGGATCCCGTTGAGTACAACAGATGCAAGGGGTGCTAATACGTTCCCATTACATAACCGACTTCCAAACTCGAATTTGGTTGCGATGACCATTTTCTTTATCTTTTGGGGATTTATTGATATTTTCCCTTTCCTTTGGAATAAATAAAGTTCGGTGACAACTCTGTTTTTTCGTGTAGCAATAGTTGGCAAATCTGGGGATACCTAAGCGAGTCCCTCTTAGCTTTGTTTGTTTTTTTTTCTTTTAGGTGTTTATTTTTATGCTTTACTTGCTTTATTTACTGTATTTATCACATTTATTGCATTTTATCATTCATATATTTTGGATATATACTGTATATTCTCTTTGTGGGATGAGTGATACTTTTGAGAGATAAGCCCACTATCCAGACTTGAGTATACACATAGGATATAATCGTGGATAGTCGTGTTGACACGCGTAGCGCTTGATGCATTGAGTTGGCACTAGACCTACACCTAGACTAGGTCCTCTTGGGGATGCCTTTGTCCTACATGCTTAAGATAAGGTAATGTGTTTTCACTTGGATCCTCGAATCTGGGGACCTTTTAGAACCACCTTTTCAAGACTATAACCCACATGTGAGCGGGATATGGGTCTCTTT